ACACAATAAAATCACATACATTATAGACATAGCCATTCCAAACACTCACAATGTACAAAACACATGCACTGAAAAAATTAGCAAGTACACAGAACTCGCCCAGGAAATCAGGCATCTGTGGAAAATGGATAGGATGCTTATTGTACCTGTTGTTCTATCCTGTACAGGTGTAATACCACACACACTACACAAAAGCCTGGGAACATTACAATTGAGTAGAAATACATACATAATACTACAGAAAGCCACTATATTGAATACATGACATATTGTTAGGAAATTCCTGAATACAGACACTGACACACTTCTTTAATTTTAGTTTTATTTTGGTTGCTATGCCTTGACTCTGGTCCGGCATAGTACACAGCCACCGGTGTGAACCGAGTATAACCCACTAAACACAATAATAATAAGCGCAGAGCCCAAACGGTTAGGAGGTGAAAGTTGAAATTTGGTACACAGTTAGGGTACGTCACGAGAACGCACACTAAGAAGGGATTTTTCGAAATTGCTCCCACGAAGGAGAGGATTAAGGCTTACCCTGAAGAACTCTGTATCTATTGTACTATTTTAATGCAACTTTTTGTTCTTAACAGCGTTTCAGTTTACTACCAAATTAAGTGGAGTTGCGGACGAAAACTCTTTTTCGAAGAGTTTTCGTCCCGGTTCGAATAGTTTAGTGTTAACAGAAAGCGGCGTGCGAGATTTACAGGCTCAAATGCGGTTTTAAACCCATCTAAAAATTTTCTAATTAGTATAAAAACGGGGAACCTAATTCTTGAATTCTGTGAAAACCGGTAAGAATAGCTATAATGTAATTATCTTAACCTTCGTTATCGTTACTTTTCGCCCGAGCAACGCCTCGCTTATCTGCTAGTAATACAATATTTTTAATAATGTACTGATAAATATACAAAAATATATTTTTAATGCACTCCAGGCAGCAGTACTACAATTGTATTTATTAATAACAGCATCTAGTCGTTTTCACTATTTATAGATAAATCTAGTCAAACCCGACGCAAATAATTGTTTCGTCAAAACGATTTCGGTATACTTTTTGAAATTTATTTAAAAATTACGTAAAATTTAATCTCGTAAAATTATCTAAAAGTCCATCGATTATATCTTCTTTCTAGACACACGTGCTCTTACAATTCTGTGACGTGATTTGTCTTAACATTTCTCAACGTCACACCACGCTCTGTTCGATATTCACCAATCAAATACCATCTGCCGAGAGTCCTCTATATTCACATCAAAAGCATTCAACTGAACAGCAACGACACAAAAAGTCTTTCAAAATTGTGTAATACCTACCAAATATTTAACTTTAATAATATATTATTCGACCCGTTCTGCCATATATTCTATCTGAAGAGACAATTAAATAACTGTTTAATAACTTACCGAACAACGAGGTGGACCTAAAATTTAACTAAATCGAGATGCAGTCGTCGTATAGAAATTGCTTGGCCAGAACACTTCAGCCTTTGATCTCTGTAATGGAACTTTTCGCTATTGATACAATGAAGGCTTGCAATTGTCGAAATAAAAAATCAAGGAAAATGCAAAAACTTCTTACACTTTACTCTAATTTACTAGAAATATTTTTATGGGGTATGGTTTTATTGTTTACTGCAATACTAGCTACATCGAGAGGTTACTGCATTCAAGTTTTTATGTTATTAGAAGATAATAAGACTTATGTTGTATTCATATTATGGTGTTGTTCTTTGTACGGAAGTTTACAATTCAGCATTCTGAAAAGAAATAAGATTAATATTCATTATCTGATGAGAGATTTCAAAAAAAAAGAAGAATTTGTTCAAAAGTATGAACCGTATTTCTTTCGTTGTTTCTATTTGTATGTTCTTATTCTACTGTGTTTTTTCACGGGAAACATATACATGGGGTATCATATTTTTCAATCAGTACGCTACGATCCTAGAATACCTTTGTTTTGCCTTTTCGGACTCGAACTTTGGTATTTTTTCGTTGCGTCACACGGACTTTGCATAATTTTATTTGCACTAATTTTTTGGTTACTTCTAGAAAAAAGTTTGATAAACATTTCTGTTAATTTAAAAATTTCTCAAACCTCGAGACAATCTCTTGTTGATGAACTTATGCAGAAACTTTGGAAAATTTGGGAGTGTATTGAAGAATTTAACGAGAAATGGAAAGCGCTCTTTCCTGTTTATTATTTGTTTTATATCCATCAAACTTGTTTCTTTATATACATTGCTCTGTTTGTGCGGACAGGTGTAATATTTCGCTTGATTATCGCGATATTCGGAGTGATATCTCTGGTTGCAACATTAACAGTGTCGTGGGCATTGTCATATTTTACTTCAATTGTAAGAACTGTTCTAATTCCTACATAGACTAATAATTACAGTGCTATACTTACTGCATATAGCATTGATTTTATAATAAATATATTAATTTTTTTCAGATCTATGACAATTTTATCAACATCGGAAAGTATGACTGTTGTTTATTCACACCGGAGTACAGATTTAAAGTGTGTTTTTTTTTTCTAATTTTTCACACATAAAATGTGATTATATTAATAATTGTATCATTACAGATTATTTGTTTTATGAAGAGATTCGGAGGAAGACCTTTCGGTTTATCGATGTGGGGATTTTTCTACATTAAGAGAAATTTCCTGCTTAGGGTAATTGTTAATAGTTGTAAATATTTGTTCTTAGTTTTTTTCAAATTTAATGAGTAACGTATAAAAGGAAATACAATGTAGTGTTGTTAGACGGTGTTATATTATAATCACATTGCATTTTTTATGTTTAAAAATTAATATTGGGCATTCAGGAATAATTTAAAACCTAGAAATTTAATCTATATACTCGAAAGTTGTTTATTATGTAGATTTTATACGTTTACATGCAATAATTCTTATTATAATCACGTAATTTTTTAGACAGTTTTATAGAAATGTTCTAAATGCATTAGTAATTTTATTTATCTTTATTGTAAATTATACTTTCCCATACAGAAATATTTATTACATTTTATATTACTTTCAGGTGATAAGTGGATTGTACTCTGTTTTCTCTTCTATCATTCAAATAACCGGAGTTCTTGATAAGAAGAGATGCCACACGAAAACTTGTGGACATTTCACATTTAAAAACAATACGCTTTTCTAACTATTTTAATCTGTTATAAAGAAGTATTCGTTAACGAACTTCTTTATTCATTATTTATAAATCTTTGAAACGCTGCATTATTACTGTTAAACAGAATTTCTGTATACGTATAATATTTAGTTAAACTGCATGGTAATTTTTTCTTTTGTTACTTATGACTTGAACATTGCTGATGGTATTTTTGACAATAGTTTTCACAGTACAAATTAAACATTCTGCATTTTTCAGTGGTGAGTAGACTGAATCTAATCCAAAACATTTAAAGTAATATAAATAAATATATGACATTCCTATACTCTTAAGTGTAATTACGACAAAAGTGTAATTTCACACGCAGTGTAAATAACATGTTGTTCAAATCTTTTTGATTGAACACAGAAAGTAATTTCAGCACAACGAAGAACTGAAATACCTCTACTAGCAAAGCATACTGCATCAATAAGGTGATATAACCGAAATATTGTGCACTAATTTGTAGCAATTGTTAAAATAGTAAAACAGAATGATGTAGTTTTATTTTATTTCATTTTTTTTTTCTTTACAGCCACAGTTATAAAATTTAGGATAATCTTACAACACTTTATAAATTGTCACATATAACAAAATTGATGTATGTACACTACATGGGTTGAATTGAAATATTAAAGTGGCCTTAAATTTAACGGACTCCGACATAACGTTTTATAATCGTCGCGTAAGCGTAATGAAATTATTAAATTGTCCCCATTTCAAATACCTGTTATAATATACAAAGTAGAGACTTCTCGTAGCGTTCGAAGTAAGTTGACAACAACGGAAAAATTCTACTGTAAAGTAGTGTACGACCAGCTTATAACTTGCGATCGGCCCATAAGTTTTACATTGCGAAATTTGACTTCGAAAATCTCGGTATATAATTCGAATTTTAACTTCCTTGCGACTTTCCAATTTTTAATATTAATGTAATTGAACATAAAAAATATTAAAACTGAAAAAAACGAAAGAAATGCTTTAATTTTGAAGAAAAAGTTTCAAACTTTATTTTCCATTGTCTTGCCATTTTGTGAAATCTGACACTGATGAGTCATTGTATTTACAGCTGGATGACCTTGAAAACAGCTGGTGTTGGATTTCCCGGGACATTCTCATAGAAGTCTTGGGAGACGAAGGGTTTATAGTAGGGTGAATACTTGCTGGCCGTATATTTTTAAAAATTTTTAAAAATTCAAATTTTAATTGCGATTACCGACCCTCTCGACTTAATTCGAGAAAACTCGGGCAATTTCCATAGCGTTACATAAAACTCAGTCGTTTGGGCCCTCCAAAAAAATTTCTGTTTTCTTTCGATTTTTGGATGTTTTTTAAGTATCTAAATTTTTTCAAAGATTTTTTCACGCGCGAAAACATTTTATCGCGATTTTAATTTACCTTTAATGACTCACGATTAACGCTTGATTGTTTTTAATAGGATTTTTTTTTATCAAATTTCATTCATTGTTTTAAAGTTCTAGTGCATGGATTTTACTTCGATAAAATTATTTAAAGCTAGTTTCTGATATCAAAAACGACGTCCAATACGTTTTTAAATTTTTAATTAATAGATTTTATTACATATACGTCGAGTGGTTGGAAATTGCAATATAAAACGTAATTTTTTAAAAATATTTAAAAATATACGGCCAGCTATTATTCAGCCTACTTTAAATTCTTCTCCTCCAGAGACTTCTATGAGAATGTCCCGGGAAATCCAACACCAGCTGTTCTCAAGGTCATCCAGCTGTAAACACAGTGAGTCATCGATGACAGATTTCACAGAAAAGCGAGGCAATGTAAGTTAAACTTTGAAGCTTTTTCTTCAAAATTAACGTATTTTTTCGGATTTTTTAGTTTTAAATATTTTTTATTTTTAATTACATTAATATTAAAAATTGGTTGGTACCAAGGGAGTTAAACAAACTTCTCTGTGCCNATAAATATATTAATTTATTTCAGATCTATGACAATTTTATCAACATCGGAAAGTATGACTGTTGTTTATTCACACCGGAGTACAGATTTAAAGTGTGTTTTTTTTTTCTAATTTTTCACACATAAAATGTGATTATATTAATAATTGTATCATTACAGATTATTTGTTTTATGAAGAGATTCGGAGGAAGACCTTTCGGTTTATCGATGTGGGGATTTTTCTACATTAAGAGAAATTTCCTGCTTAGGGTAATTGTTAATAGTTGTAAATATTTGTTCTTAGTTTTTTTCAAATTTAATGAGTAACGTATAAAAGGAAATACAATGTAGTGTTGTTAGACGGTGTTATATTATAATCACATTGCATTTTTTATGTTTAAAAATTAATATTGGGCATTCAGGAATAATTTAAAACCTAGAAATTTAATCTATATACTCGAAAGTTGTTTATTATGTAGATTTTATACGTTTACATGCAATAATTCTTATTATGATCACGTAATTTTTTAGACAGTTTTATAGAAATGTTCTAAATGCATTAGTAATTTTATTTATCTTTATTGTAAATTATACTTTCCCATACAGAAATATTTATTACATTTTATATTACTTTCAGGTGATAAGTGGATTGTACTCTGTTTTCTCTTCTATCATTCAAATAACCGGAGTTCTTGATAAGAAGAGATGCCACACGAAAACTTATGGACATTTCACATTTAAAAACAATACGCTTTTCTAACTATTTTAATCTGTTATAAAGAAGTATTCGTTAACGAACTTCTTTATTCATTATTTATAAATCTTTGAAACGCTGCATTATTACTGTTAAACAGAATTTCTGTATACGTATAATGTTTAGTTAAACTGCATGGTAATTTTTTCTTTTGTTACTTATGACTTGAACATTGCTGATGGTATTTTTGACAATAGTTTTCACAGTAGCAAATTAAACATTCTGCATTTTTCAGTGGTGAGTAGACTGAATCTAATCCAAAACATTTAAAGTAATATAAATAAATATATGACATCCCTATACTCTTAAGTGTAATTACGACAAAAGTGTAATTTCACACGCAGTGTAAATAACATGTTGTTCAAATCTTTTTGATTGAACACAGAAAGTAATTTCAGCACAACGAAGAACTGAAATACCTCTACTAGCAAAGCATACTGCATCAATAAGGTGATATAACCGAAATATTGTGCACTAATTTGTAGCAATTGTTAAAATAGTAAAACAGAATGATGTAGTTTTATTTTATTTCATTTTTTTTTTCTTTACAGCCACAGTTATAAAATTTTGGATAATCTTACAACACTTTATAAATTGTCACATATAACAAAATTGATGTATGTACACTACATGGGTTGAATTGAAATATTAAAGTAGCCTTAAATTTAACAGACTCCGACATAACGTTTTATAATCGTCGCGTAAGTGCAATGAAATTATTAAATTGTCCCCATTTCAAATACCTGTTATAATATACAAAGTAGAGACTTCTCGTAGCGTTCGAAGTAAGTTGACAACAACGGAAAAATTCTACTGTAAAGTAGTGTACGACCAGCTTATAACTTGCGATCGGCCCATAAGTTTTACATTGCGAAATTTGACTTCGAAAATCTCGGTATATAATTCGAATTTTAACTTCCTTGCGACTTTCCAATTTTTAATATTAATGTAATTGAACATAAAAAATATTAAAACTGAAAAAAACTAAAGAAATGCTTTAATTTTGAAGAAAAAGTTTCAAACTTTATTTTCCATTGTCTTGCCATTTTGTGAAATCTGACACTGATGAGTCATTGTATTTACAGCTGGATGACCTTGAAAACAGCTGGTGTTGGATTTCCCGGGACATTCTCATAGAAGTCTTGGGAGACGAAGGGTTTATAGTAGGGTGAATACTTGCTGGCCGTATATTTTTAAAAATTTTTAAAAATTCAAATTTTAATTGCGATTACCGACCCTCTCGACTTAATTCGAGAAAACTCGGGCAATTTCCATAGCGTTACATAAAACTCAGTCGTTTGGGCCCTCCAAAAAAATTTCTGTTTTCTTTCGATTTTTGGATGTTTTTTAAGTATCTAAATTTTTTCAAAGATTTTTTCACGCGCGAAAACATTTTATCGCGATTTTAATTTACCTTTAATGACTCACGATTAACGCTTGATTGTTTTTAATAGGATTTTTTTTTATCAAATTTCATTCATTGTTTTAAAGTTCTAGTGCATGGATTTTACTTCGATAAAATTATTTAAAGCTAGTTTCTGATATCAAAAACGACGTCCAATACGTTTTTAAATTTTTAATTAATAGATTTTATTACATATACGTCGAGTGGTTGGAAATTGCAATATAAAACGTAATTTTTTAAAAATATTTAAAAATATACGGCCAGCTATTATTCAGCCTACTTTAAATTCTTCTCCTCCAGAGACTTCTATGAGAATGTCCCGGGAAATCCAACACCAGCTGTTCTCAAGGTCATCCAGCTGTAAACAC